TATCTAGCGCGACATCGAGAAGAGATTGGAAGCATGGAATAAACGAACTTTATGACAGTTTTCCAATTAATTAAACACATAGTAGAAGGCGCAGACCGAGTTTGCGATTACTTCGTGCTCTTATATTGCCATGACATGTATGCAAAGCAAAACACAAGTGAATTCAAGAATGCTGATGAATGAAAGGAGACAAGTGGTTCTGCTTACTTACCCTTCTCAGTAGTAGGCCCCGCTATCAAATGAAGGAATCGTAAAAAGATAGAAGAGCGAACAAAGAAGTTGTCGAATAAACTTCACAGAAGAACAGTTTTTTGACGTGAGAGCATGGACATAAAAAAGGAAAAATATTGAGAATGCTAGCTCGTATAATGTATCAATCTTTGAATTTAGATCGGGTGAATACTTCGAATCATCCCTAACCTTTTCGTTCGAGTCCACAGGCACATCAATCGGGGTGTCAATCTAGGTTCGATCAGCCACGTTCCCTTCGAGCGATCTTTTTTTAGGTGGGTGATTGTAATTCTTGGCTCTCCCATTGTTTGACACATTGGGCACCAAAGTTACATCCTTTGCAAGACATATTTCACGATCGCAGCAGTCCCCTTTTCCCACCAATTCCGTCTCGCTCAATCGATGTCCACATTGAGGACAAAATTGAAATAGTTGCATAAGTTGAAACCCCTTCACAAGGAAATATCGATCGAGTGTCTCAGGTTTCGTCGTCCGCAGTAAGGGTTTGAAAAAGGACGAACTTGTCGAAGAGCACTTCGACTCATCTTCAGATGTGTCAAGGGACCGCTCTGCCTCTTTTGCACTCTGAAAACATAAGGACCATAAGTGACTCTACCACTCCGAAAGTTCCCTTGTCAACAGACCACTTCTGAAGGGCAACTAGTCGATGCTAAATCTCCTTCCACTGCCTGCAATACCTTCAAATCACTTCCTTCACCATCCACTTCTCCAATGATGGGTGCTTTCGCTGCATCTTCAGCAACATCATGACTGACCACGTTCACCTAGACCGAGGTATTACTGACTGTTTACGCAATTGAAATCCTAATCCTACCTCTTCGGTCACTGGCCACATGGATGTTGAATAGTAGCGCGCCAAAGCGTCGTTAAGAAATTTGCTAACATCAAGGCCTGTGATATGCACGCTACCCTGAATTCGCAGTCACTGACAATGTTCCAATATGTGAGAATAAGTCTTAGACAACCACAAGTCCTACTTGTGCCATGATATTTAGTATATCCAGCAGATCACTTGAAACGTCCGCGTTCGTTACAAATGCTGTGCGCCCTCCAGCGCTGGGATCTTCAAAACGTGATATTCTCTTCCCCTTCATCGCCATTTCAGCCAACAGATATTGGGCCTGTTTAACAAAGAAACATGGATAGTACACCTACAGGAATTAAATGTTAGCTGTGTTCTACTTACCGCACGAATTACGTGAGTATGACAAACTTTTCGGTTGGGTTTTGTGATGGACTCCGCCAAAAGGCGTGCACTTTCACTGTCCTTCTGACCGGCCAATGAAAGTGACATCAATAGAATCATGTTCGAGGTCTTCGATCTGGACGTATGCCTTCCTTCTTCATCTCTCAACGCGTATCCACAGATCGAACAAGTCTTCATTTTCAACTGAGCCCTAAAAAACTGTGTACAGTGGTATTTGTAACATGACTTTCACCAAACTTTTGTATCAACAGATACTGCACATATACTGCAATACCTATTAGCAAAAAAGCCACCCGCCTATAATGAACTGACAACGATTGGGTTGACCCTGCTGAGGGCGCTTCCATAGTCGGCTGACCAACCGTAAGGCTGGTGTCAGAGTCCGCGATTCGATTTGCGCGATTTTCGCGATTTGCGCGATTTTTGCGAAACCTGCGATGGGTCACAGGAGTTGGAGGTGCCCCGATGAATACTGCGAGGTGCTGTTTAATCCTGGAAATTGAAGGAAGACTGCCCGTGATTCTACTCGTTTAATGTTATGTCTATTATTCATTGAAATGCTCATTCGTTCAGGGACGGAACTGCATCTATTCTGAACTGACCATGAGGATGACCATGAGATCGCGCGGATCACAAAAATTGCAAGTGGCCCATTTGAACAATTGAAACACTGAATATGAAGCAAGTGGAAGAGAACACCTTGCAGTATTGAATGAGGCACTTGAGATTTCCGTGTGCGGGTGATTTCGCGCTCCCGTCGCAACGAGATGCTACCAGAATTCGGTATGGGAAATCTATCTCTAGCGCGTTCATAGTTCGCGACAAGACATAGATACGCGAGGATGAACAAACATAGATAACGTAGAATAGAGAGTAGGATATGCACTGATAGATTAGACACGTATCGATTGAAATCGCTGGAGAGTAGTAGATTGCGATATTACGATAGTAGGATAGTAGTAGATTAGGATAGTGTGCTGACAAGATTAGATATGTATTGATCTATTCGCTCGGAGTCGCCCAATCTACTACTCTCCAGCGATTTCATCGATACGTACCCAATCTTGTCAGCCAATCTACTATACTACTATCCTATATTCCATCGCATCTATCTATCGGCTCGAACTATGAACCGGCTAGACTAGCGGCTTATCACACGACTTCATAATATTTATTCCTTATATATAAAGCCTAACTTGGTGTTCGTTTGGTATCGTGTATGTGTGTGTGTGAGAGTGTGTGTGTGTGTGTGTGTATGTGTGTCCGTCCGCAAAATGAAGTGAGTGAGAAGGAAGCTCATGGGATAAACAAACCGATAACAAATCGGGTAGCTTACAGGATTTGAGATATCAATGTTTTGTAGCAGGATAGTTGTGATAACACTCTTAGGGCTATATAAACACCTGCTTAGCACACTTCCGTTCATTCCACATGGTGCTGCAGTGGCAAGCTGCGAGCATGAGAAGAGAAGAGCGATTAGGGAAGTGAAACGAAAATCTCCACTCACATCAGATGGTGCCTTCTACTGAACACCATTTGTGCATAATGCGTTCACTCCCACGAGGTGCTTATTGCACAGGAAAGGGTCTCATAATGTCAGCGCATCTGCACGCAAAAAATCTTGGCCCGTTCCAGGACATAGGCATTAGCCCGGCTGTGACGGGGGATGACAAATCCTCAACAGCCTCATATAATCGCTGCAATAATACTACAGGTTGCATGAAATTCATTCATACTGCCACACGATCATGATATATCTGCGCCCAAAACCGCTATCTGATGTCAAGAACTAATTAATCCATTAATACGTCAACCTTAAAACGTTTTTATAACGATAAAACAAATTTCAAATCTTGGTTATATCAGAACGTTCGGCAACCCCATAAAACAAGAACAGTATATACTATCCAACATAAAATCTCAAGTAAAGGGACATCCTTATGGCAGACTAGGCGTATGCTGATATTCGATGGGTCACGACTACTGAACTCAGCCCTTTAACTCTCTGCGCTCTCTCGCGGTCCCTCCTCTCCCCAATGCTTAGCCCTAGTCGCGAATCGTTCGCTCTTAACATCCGGCAACCATGAGAAAAATCATAGACCAGGACGGGGAAAGGTTGGGGAGGTTCGTCGCAGGACCCACTTTGCAACGGTCGCACCTTTGATTTTGCAGCTTTGTTTCCATTCTTTTACTGTTCCTGATTGTATATTCGCTCGTCAATACCTTTCTTCATCCAAAAACAGCAAAATCTACAAAATCAAAGGTGCGGCCGTTGCCCAGTGGGTCCCGCGACGAACCGCCCCAACTCCCCATTCCCAACCCCCCCCCCCCACAACACATTCAACATTCTGCATACGGTCCCTGGAACAATGGCGTCACAGTGGGGCTCCCAGACAACACCTAACCAATGGACGTGGCTGCGGTGATCGCGGCCCAAGTTCGTTGGTCGAGCGGTTGTTTTGATGGGGTGCCCGCAGCGTGATAACCTGGGGCCGTAAGGTATGCTTCCCCGAAGAGTGAGAGGACGAAAATCCCTTTAAATTTTCTCTGTCGTCCCAACTGGGATTGTCCTGATAAAGGGCCTACATTTAATACAGTGCGTACCAAAAGTATGTGGACACCCTAGAATCGATTCTCAGGAGTCAGCTAAAGGCTTTTGTGTTATGAAACCTTCACCATTCAACTCCTAGTGGTCGATAACCTACAATGACATTCTCGGCAAAAGATTTCGTTCTAACTTAGCGAACTATTTTTCATGGAAAGTTTTTTCTTTGTATCAAAATTATGTGGACACCCTGAGGCAGATGAAGTTTTTGCATCGATTTCCTAACCTATTTTTACTTCTCCTTTCGTTACTTATTCTGGCATCATTCCTCTTCACGGCAAGCGTTTTTCTGAAGAAGACCGAGCACAGAAATGGGATCCCCATGCTTCTGAACCTTCCTATTGCGAAATAGCACGTCAACCAGTCATGCGTCCTCGTAGGTTTGGAGAGAAATCCGAAATCCTGATGCTAAGCTCTCGACCTTGACTGAGGGTTGTTCTCAATCGCTACTTGTTCAAAACAGGCAGAAGAATAGCCTTAATTTTCTCAAATTATTCTTTTCGTACTACTCAACTTTACGCATAAATGATCTTCCCGATCTTAAAAAAGACCAATCGGTGTCTCATTCAATCAATTGAGCACACGACACGAAAGAAGATGAAGAAGGCTTTGTATATGAATGCGGGTTCAGGTTGGCAAGGTTGGAATTCCCACTCAAAAAAGGATCACAACATGATACTTTGAACCCACACAGACAGTGCTTTCGTGGAAATGGTAAAATTAGTATAAAAGACTTTCTGTGGAAATTTCTTTCATAGACCAACTCGACTGGCAGAAAGAAGCTTATTCCTTACTATTCGGGTGGGTCTTGAGGTTTTTGGAGAGACTTTGGTCGGACCCGCAGATGTGCTCGAAGAGACAATTCGGAAGATGTTCATCAAAGGTCTGGGGTGGTTCCAAAAGGAGGGGACATTGAAGTTTGGCTTGCCAACATGTCAGGTAGACAACTAGGATTATAATGAGGTGCTTGAGTCCCGGCTACAACCTTTTTCGAAAAGTCATGGTCGCAAATCACTTGTTTTGCAGGGGAGGTCCCTGACACCATTCCATTTGGAAAAATGCTAAACGCAACGGCTTTGATTGGCAAGTCGGCTAGCGTATTCCTCAGACTTCATCCTTATTGAAAACGTAGAGGTATCGTGGTTCGCGGTCTCTACGTCATTGAACAAAAGAGTAATATCACAAGTGACCTAACACGTCGGTGAAATTTGCTAGTTGGGAACAGATCTGCAAGACATGTATCCAGACCCATTCATAGCATGCCAAACAGGATGGCTCAACTTACTAGAAGTTTTGGTAGGCTTACCGTTTTCAGATTCTGA